AATGAATCACATACCAAGGGATACCTTGCACTTCAATATTCCAAGCTTGTTCCATAGTAGAACGAAACTCTGGATGTGTTTCCCAGAACTCGAAATACTTGAATGCCTTAGGCAGAGATTTGATCAAAGGATTTGAAGCAACTAGGATGCCGCAGTGATCCGAGAAAGGTGCCACTACAGCTTTCATAGTATAGTCTGGTAAACTCTCTACCCACTCAATATTCACCACAGCTCTATCCAGTCGTCTAGCTATAGAATTTTCTACATGATTATTAGCCCATGTGAACCACGGCCCCGTTGTTCTGTAGTCCATCAGTTCAATATCATTCAACCCGTGCTCAAAATCCACCATACTAGACGACTTTGAAAGTAGATTAGAAGTCTCCATAGGGTGAACCACTGCATTGAAATCTCCCCCTACTATCCAAGATCTGTATTTCACCTAAAATCTACTCATTTCAGCATAAGTACCACGTCTTTCTAATTCATCATTGGAACCATAAACTGCTGTCACAAAAATAGGAACATCATCCTGCCCTTTAGCCATATAATGCATAAAGTTTTTCCCCTTCTTGATGACATGTAATTTAATGTCTGATGACCAGAAAAGCCAAATCCTACCAACATCTGAATCTACGTAATTGAGCTCTCTCTCCCAACCTTCAAAACAATTTTTCAGTACTTTTTTCCACCTTTTCTTCCTAACCCTTATCTCCAATACAGCAACCACATCCACCTTATACTTCCTAAGGAATTTCATGAAATCCCTCCTCTTAGGGGGTTTGTTAAACCCCTCACATTCCAAAATAGGATATTCATTGAGGGGAGGAGGGCTTATGCCCTCTCTTCCTATCACCCTTAACAGGAGCTACTTGTAATTAACATACCTCACGATCCCCTATCCCACTAAGCACCGCAAAAGCGAAATTATCCATTTGTAGAACACTCGTTGGACTGCCTGGTAACCACCTCTGCTGCCGGGCACCATTGATTACCAGTTGAAAATCATCCTCCGAAGGCAATTTTGGAGACTCCAAAGCCTCTTGGAAAGACTTCTTCAGGCTAGTACCCAATAACTTCACAGGGGAAGAGTATGCAACTACATGACCTCCAATGAGCAATGATTGAACCCCCGCAGAACACCCTTCATCACTCGACTTCACAATCTCCTCCTCTACTACCAGTACCCCCTTGCCCTTATCTGTCTACTTAGTTGCCACTGTCTCCACTTGAGCAAGCTAGCTCTTCAAGCAGCCCTAATTAAACAGCTTTTGGATGGTCTGGTAGAGTGATACAGTACAGAGCACATTTTACTTTTATGCTTCCTTTTTAATAGGTGTGAGAAGTATCCTTATAATGGAATAGTATATCTTATAATAGTGCTGTTGTATATAGTTTTTGAGAAGCAGCTTGGTGGTTTATCAGGAGTTGCCTGAGATTGAATGAAATTTAGTTTAACTATAAACAAGCCGATAGTATAATATAGAGTCATAATTAATCTATATATTATTCTAAACCTCAAATTCTAAACCATGACTCTGCATCGCTAAATCTGTTAAAATCAAAGAAAATTTTAAATAATTTTTGTGTAAATTCCTGTATTTTTTGTCTATCATATAACAAATGAGGATTGCCAATATTTTGACATGAATTGCATGATGAAAGTGATTATAACGAGGTGGATATATACATATGGGTCCGACTGTTATACACCTAGAGTATAGGATACTCCATGTACTTGTAATAATATATCTCTTTCTATATTATCAATTAAACTGAGTTGGAGGTATGATACCATATCCTAACTTGTATGGATAAACCTCAGGTCCTAATTCTATAAACCCAGACTAGAAGTTCAATTTAAAAGAAGAATAGTTGACTTTCGGATTGGTCGAGCCCCATTGAAGTAACTCAAACAACTTGATCACCTGGAGAGTATATATATTAGTTCATGCATACGTACGCTATTCTTACAGTATGTACGTTGAGTTTTGCTATTTAGACCATGAATCAAGCGGAATTTGAACATATAATACTTTACATAACCTCTAATAGGTGAACTCCAATCATTTATTTAATTAACTAAACCATTAAATTCATTTAATAAAAAAACATCAATAGCTTTGATTCGTTGAAATTCATAAAAATATATTTAATAAGTGTGAATGTAGATGTATATCATACTTATCAGCTACACTCTTAACATTTATCATATATATATATATATATATATATATATATATATATATATATATATATGGGGAGTTCTACGGTACCCAGGGTGAAATCCCGGGTACCGCATACCTTGAGTAAGAAAACGCTATCCAGGACTTGAATTGACTGATCTTTCGGACATGATACTATACTCTAACCCTTAAAGATCAAAATCTAGATCTTAATTCTCTAAATCTTATCCCCCAATATCAATTTAATTAGAAACAATAATCGACGGTTATGATTCGGTGCACTCACTTTTTTGGATGCACTCAGTGCACCCAACTCTAAAAGCGTCCATAAGACATCAAATTTTGAACTTTAATTAGTACTCTCAATATAATATGATGATATGACATAGAATCATAACAAATCAATTCATTACCCTAACCCCTTAACTTTCAATTTTGAATCCCAACCCAAAATCCCAAATTGTAAACCTAAACCCTAACCCTAAATTCCTAAATCCTAAATCCTTCGAATTAAAGTAAAATTTGAATGAATTTTACTTTAATTTGTGCCAAAAGATGCAACGAATTGGACTGTAATGGAATTTGGAGAGGGCGGCAGTTATCCCTGCTTCGGGGTGAAGGTACGATAGAGTAAAGAGTGGCTTGGCTTATAAGAATATCAAAGTTTTGCCAAGTCTTCCAGTTATCGAATGATTGGGGAGCAGAATGAAGTGGATTGAGAATCAGCCAATGACCAGGCCTCATGTGGTCGGTTAATTAATAATTAGTTGACTAATTGGTATTTGTTAATTCCACACCGATCATTCATTGGCTAATCTTTGTTGATTAATTACATTATAATATAACTTTTTGGTCTTCTTAAAAGCTCAAGATTGCCTACGTCACTATGTGGGAGTCGGCAAGGAGTTTTTTGGGGAGCCTTATATAGGTGGTGACAACTATTTAAAGGGCATTTCAAATCTATGGAAGATGGTCCTTAAATGTGTTGTCTGTTTGTTCAGGTTTCATTCTTTTGGGGTCATTTAGTATTTTTCTCGTTAATCCGCATTGCTTGAGGAAGGATTCGGGTTTTATGTGTATATTATGGGTTGATTTGGAGAATAATAGTCTAAATCTCTAGATTTTAAACAATTTAAAGAGTTTAACTCTTCGGGTTGTTGAAAAACGATTTTAAATGTTAATAGTATGATAACGACAATTGTTGAGATTAAATGAAAACTATAAATTATTTTTATCAAATGACATGTTTACTCTTGATCAAAATAATCTGACATACTCGATAAATATTGTGAATTTATCGATAAGAGTATTTAGTAGGAAAAAATAAAGAAATAAAGTAGGAGAAAAGGTCTCAAAAATCAAGATGAGAATCTCTACAATCATTAGATATTTGATACTTCTATATTTTATTTGAAATATCTGAACTTTCAATCCTCGATATAAATACATTTAACTTTTCGCATAACTTAAGGATTCAATAAATTCATTATCCATGTCCCAAATCATGTTCTCCAAACGATATAAATTGAAATCATATGACACTATAGGCAGAGGTGAGGCCTTATGCCTCTGTCACAGGCTCACAGGGACATGTAAGTTTTGGTAAAAAAAATAACTTTTATCTATATTTATGCAAGGGTCGAACTAGTCATTTTGAGGTGGCATGAGGATAACTTGGCACTTCATAAAAGCTCACTTCTTGTTATATGTATTAAATGTTTATTTATATTCTGAAATATAGACACTTATAATTTCAAGTTCCGACTCAACCACAATGCATTGATTATTGACATTAACCACGGGGACGAAACAACAAACAAGTGTTGTGATTGTTATTTTGAAAAGTTTGTACTACACATTTTGCAAAGTTTGGGGGTGTTGTTGTGATATTAGCTGTTGATAAAAAGGGTTATAGGTATAATATGCCTCTTTACTATGACATTTTATCAAACATGCCCCTCTACTATTTTTTACATCAAACATGCCCCTGTACTATGAAAAAATTATCAAACATGCCCTTATGTTAAAATTTTCATTGAAAAAATCGTCAATCATGGTTGAACCGAGATTTAGACGACCCGACATCGACAAATTGGAGAGAAAATGTAAGTTTTATCTCCCGTTGTATTTCTCTGGGTGTCTTCAAAGTGAAATTATTTGAATTATTTGGCTATACAAAAGATAAAATAAATTAAAAGTGAAATTATTAGGGATATTTTAGACATTTGTGCCGCCCAAACCAAAGTTCGACCTTGGTTAACGGTTTTTGGATGAAAATTTAAACAAAAGGGCATGTTTGATCATTTTTACAAAGTACAGGGGCATGTTTGATGTAAAAAATAGTAGAAGGGTATGTTTGACAAAACGTCATGTCATAGTAGAGGGGCATATTATACATATAACCCTAATAAAAATAATAACTATGACCGGTGCTTCGCAGACTAGAGAAGTTGTAGAGACTACTCTCCGTGTGTGTTGTTAGCTGTTTGTTTGAGAAATACTCGACTCGGCGTGAGTTTGAATCGAAGGCGTAGTAATGAATTGCATGTGAGAAGAATAACCGTCTGTCTGTCTGTCTTGTTGTTGCTTTCCAGAATGGAGAATGCCATTGCCAGATGCTCCTCCCTTCCCCTTCCCCGCCCCCTATCTCTCTCTCTCTCTCTGTGTGCCGCTCCTCACATTCTTTTCGCCATTTTAGACGCCTACTATCAAACAAACAAACCTACTCCTCTCTGGCTCTCTCCCTTGTTTAGCATCTAGTAGGCTTTTCGTGGCCCTATAAATTCATGCCCACCCTCTCCCACTTCTCCTTCATGCCACCCACTCATTTCCTCATTCCCTCTGTTTCTCTCCTACACCGTACCATTCACTGCCCAACTTCCCTTCTTCTCCTCTCCCAAACCAAAACCCCCAATCTGAAACATAACACAACAACTGGGTTATCCTTGAAACTAAGTTTCATTCAATCAAATCCCAGAAACCATAACAAAAACTCCACTCAACAACAGAGCAAATTGGGTCGACTTTCAGGACCAAAAAATGTCGTCCATTTCCCCTTCTAGTTACCATCAGGCCCTCCAATCCTGCGTGGAGTCCGCCAGACTGATCGAACCACGCGTTCTGCGGCTTCGATTGACTCAACAAACCCCCAACATTGCTTCGGACCCGGAATCCAACAAGAATGCCGGTGGGTTCAGCTTCCTCCAATGCATCGCCGCGAAAGAAACCGGCGAAACAAACAGAGACCCAGCATTCACTCTGGCCCCAAGTAGTAGCAACAACAACAGCGTAATGAAGCGCTCTGTCTCCTCACTCAGTAAACAGAGTCTCGAAATGTGTACCGAGAGCCTTGGCAGCGAGACCGGAAGCGACGACCGCGGCAGCGACGACGATGAGCTGCTGCTGCCGCCGCTCTCTGCACCTGCGGTGGCAGCAGATAGCGTAGAGCAGGGGGATTTGGGGAAGACTAGTGTTAGTATTAGTAGTAGCAGAGCGGCGGCGAGGCAGAGGCTGAGAAATGTGAGGAGAAGTAGCAGAGGGTGCGTAACGTTGCCGCCTCCCCTGTCTTCAATTGGAGGATCCACCGGAGTCCGAATGCGGTCTCGTCGAGAAGACGGGAGGCTCGTGGTGACCGCAGTCTCTGTGTCGTCTCCCCGTGCTCAATTCCACGTTGAGAGGAGCAACGGCCGCCTCCGGCTTCATCTTACTACCGAATACCCAACTCAAGATGAAGAAGCAGGGGACGAAAAAACAGAGGATGCAAAAACAGAGGAGGAGAAAGAAGGAGGAGAAGAGACGGAGGAAGTGGAGAGGGCAAGCGGTGGAATTAGCACGAGGAGCGGGAGGTGCAAGGAAGCAGGGGAGGGAAACAGAGGATTGATGAATTGGGAACCATTTTGGGTGGCTACTTAGACATTCTGTATCGGAGTTGGAGAGTTTATTACTTCTTCTAGCAATAGCTCAGTCCCCATTCTATAGGGTGACTTACGTATCGATATTTATGTTGTGATTTATGGATAGCATTATCTCATTTTAGGTTATCCTTAGGTTATCTAGTAGTATGAGATTATTGTTGGATGATGTTCTTGAGCTATTTGGTAGTTCTTCGATTTGGATTCTCTTATCTAAATCCATATCAATGCTTTGGGTACTTATTATCCTATTCTGTCTATTATCTATATATTCTGATATTGTCCATGACTTGAGATTTTTCGGGAACAATAAAATCAATCCACAAGTTAAGATTATGAGGAAAAGAATCCTAAAATGCAAGAGTTAAAAAAATTCTCACAATACAATACTTTGCAAAAAATTTCCCAAAATACTAGATTTTGGACCTGTTCGCTCTAGTGCCAAGCGGATTAGTCTTCAGTTCGCTGGAGTTTGGACGTAGGGATGGCAATTCCCCACTCATGGATAATTTTACCAAAACCTAAGTAAACTCATTAATTATGGGTAGAGCATGAGTAGGGCATGAGTAAAATATATATGAGTTCGTGGTGGGTTTGAATATGATATGGATATTGCTTCCATACTCTAAATGGGCATGAGTGGATATAGATACTCATTTACTTGAGGTTATTTTGAACTACGCATAAAAAAATTTGGATCTCTTTATTAAACTTAAAAATTTTAGGTATTAAATGTAATACACAAAAAATTAGGTACTAAAATGTAATTTTCATTGATATTTTGAGAACATATGCAAAAAATTGAATTGAAGTACTAAATCTAAAGATATGTTAAATTTAGGCACCAAACTGTAATTTGAAAAAGAGCACATATACAAACTCAAATCCATGGATTAAAAACCAAACTCAATCCAAACTAAAATGTAATTTTCATTGATATTTTGAGAACATATGAAAAAATTAAATTCAGGTACTAAATCTAAAGATATGTTAAATTTAGGCACCAAACTGTAATTTGGAAAAGAACATATATACAAACCCAAATCCATGGATTAAAAACCAAACTCAATCTCAATCCAAATAAATAAGTATGGGTATACTATAAACTTATCAAAGTCTACCTATTTATCATCTATGTGAATCTCATTCCCAACCCAATTGGGTTGAATAGTAAAATACACATGAGTTTGGGCAAAATTATCTTCCCTAGTTAGCAGCTAACAAGGGTGGATGGCGGCTAACAAAGTGAACAAATTGGATTTTAATAGGAAAATACACATGGGCTTGGAAAATTTGTCATCCCTAGTTACGAGCTAACAAGGATGGATTGTGGATGACAAAGTGAACAACGTCAAATATTGGTGGATCGATGGACTGAGCAACAAATTATGCAAATCGTTGGACACACAACAGCGAATCATACTGATTGCCCTACAAAAACTGCTGGAAACCAACGCGATCTACACCTAACCTAGGTCAAAACTTTAAATTGTCGTAAGGTTGCGCTCCGTTATCCAAATATAGCATAATTTCATTTATTCTGCATAACATTTCGAGAACTTCGAAGTCGCAAACCACCCAACGTCGTTTGCTATACCAAACAGGTCTTTTTTTTTTAATTTCACCAAACTTCGGTGATTGTAACTTTATATTACGCAATGCAATAAATCATCACACTTTTCTTTTTATTATGCATAAAATTTTTAAGGACTATGAAATTTGTTACACAAGTATTTTCAAAATGTATTTAGAATGAAATCTAAAGTCATTCTCAAAACTACTTAAATCCAAAAACCTCTCCTCTTTTGGAAATTTCTCTCTAGCAAACATTGAAAATCTTAAAAAGGTTATGCGAAAAAATTGCGACGATTGGATAATCGAGCGCGAAGTTAGGACTATTTGAAGTTTCGACCGTTGTTAGGAGTAGATCGCGGAGATCGTGAGTGATCCAGGGTGTTTTGCCTGAGTTTGCCGGGAACCGGGTGTGATTTGTTTGGTTGTCTGCGAAGCATATCGATTTGGGGCTAGTTCACTTGGGTTGACCGTAATCCAGTTCATTCGGGGGTGGATCGCTTCTCTTTCCAGTGAAGCACCACACAGTTCATTTTACACTTAAGCCAAATTGATTCGAACTCTAGTATTGTGGGAATTTTTTGAAAAGAATTATATCTGCGAGATTTTTTTTTACTGATGCGGATTCCCTCCCCCCCCCCCCCCCCAGATTATGAGGGTTTAACGTTGCCTGCTGTATTCATACCGCCGGCTGGTGGGCATAGAAGTGGTGGAAATTGGGGTGAGTCTGGTTACTCGCGCCACGTTTTGTGGTTAACCATACCCACAAATATAGAATTATGCTACCCACAACTTGCACCGCAGTGGGTAGTGGCATTGCGGGTTGGTGTGGGTTGGGTGTGGATACCACAAAAAGTTTCGTTCATTCGCCCTTCGGGCTCGTATATGATAAACCTATCGAACGAGTGACGATAAAAAAATAAAAACCCATTGAGTTAAAACTAAATCAAAGAAACCCAAGACATGGAACGAGCGAGGATCCAGTATTCAGAACTTCCTAAGTAGTCAACCTTCTTCTCTTTGTTCACTTCACTCGCTTACAAGTCGCTTCACTTTCTTTAGGAAATGTAGATTGATAACGAGTCTGGGTTGGAGGGGATCTAATCTAAATACACATAGTATCTTTATTGGCGACATGACTCCATTGCTTTTTTATTTGAATTTTTTAGGGATAAATGAAATTCTCTTCTAAGTCGCGGAATTAACGTTTTCTTATACGAAAACAAAAATCTACATAAAAGAAAGTTAATAAAATATTAAATAAACTATAAACCACATTTATTGACTTGGTTTTGTTATAAAATAAACACATACCACGCAGACAATGCTTTCTTAATAAAAGTATCTCATAGAGACACTGTGTATTGACAGGTTTTGTTTTATAAAATAAGTACGTATTTGATTTCTGAGACTAATTTAATCTATAGCATTCTACTTCTCACATACTTTAATGTTACAAGTATTATTAATAAATAAATATATTAAGTGGTTATTGTAGGTTAACTGTTGTGGATAGAGGTTAATCACTAACAAAAAAAAATTAATATTTTGCTACCACACCCAATCCACATACTATCCATAAATTATGCGTAAGGTCACAAAGTGTACGGTTTGGTGCAGTTTGTGGATTACCCGCGATCCGCAAACCAAACTTCCACCCCTTAGATATAGTAGTATAGTGAGTAGTAACCGAACCCAAGATATAAGAATAGGGGTGTCAATTAGGATCCAAATCCATGAATCCAATCCAATCCATCCACCTAATCCAATTCATTTAAATCCAATCCATTTGATCCAAATTCAATTGGATTGGTGGATTCATTGATCAATCCATGGATCCAAATGGCAAATTACGATTTGGTACCTATATTTTTTATATTTTACACTTTGGCACCTAAAATTTATATTTTATACAAAAAATATCATTGGAAAATTACATTTTGGTACCTACAAATTTTTATTATGACATTTTAGTACCAAAACTTTTCAAATTTTACACTTTGGTGCAAGTCTTGGATGTCATTTGGATTCATGGATCAATCCACCAATCCATTTGATCCAATCCATGAATCCACCAATCCATTTGATCCAAGGATCCACCAATCCAATCCACGAATCCGATCCAATTGCCACCACTATATAAGAATAAGACTGGTCCTTTTAACGGCAAACGGGTAGCAAGTTGAGGAACCAACGAGGTGCCTTGTGTACGGAATTCGGGTACGACTGCCTGCTTCCTGTCACCCGCACCGGGTCCCATTACCATTATGGCCGGAGTGGGAGTGGGAGTGAGCGAGAGAGACTGGGACAGAGGAGGCTGCGAAAGGATAAGCAAAAATGAAAGAAATTTCGCAAACATCTCATCTGATGCATGTTTACACATGTGGTGATGATGATATTATTATGTACCACTACTCCAACGCTTTACCTAACAATCCCAGGCCTCACTCATACCAACTCTTACAACTGCTGCATGCCTTCCCTCCCTTTAGAAGTTGGTTGGAAGCCTTACCTAATAATCCACTACACATACGTGTTTTATGTGTTGAAACAAACGGTTGCTCAAATGGATGATAGAGTTTGATGAGTAGATCTTGAAACAAATTAAAGTAACCTCAGTAGTGGCATGAGCAATGACACGATATTCGGCATCGGCGATAGATCAAGCCTTAAAAAGGAGCCGACGAGGGTATGCATTGTTTGACTTGTGGGTATGGGAGCTCTAGTACTATGTGAACGATTTTTTTTTCTCCGAACTACATTCTTTTTCTTTCGGAATCTAAAATCTCATTAAAAAGGTTAATAATTCATGATGCAACTATGCCCAACTATTCTGTTGAACAAAAATAAAAAACAATTGGTATCATGCCCACTTGTGGGCATCGTGGTAGTAAAGAGATGGAGAAGGCTTAGATATTTGGGAGAAGAAGTGGATGGATTAAGGAGGGAGATGAGATGAGATGAGATGCATGGGCAGGCCACCATGTTGGGTGGTGGAAAAGGAGGTTGTTTTTTGGGAGAAGAAGGCAGCTATGGGTTGGATGTGGTTGGCCAAACTTGCCTTACTTACAAAGAGAAAGAGGCAGAGGAGAGCAGCCCCCGATCGTGGAATTAGGCCTTCCACTCGTTTTCCCCAATTGCCAAAGGAATAATGGGGATCACCCTCCACCCTCTCTCTCTCTCTGGGTTGTCAGAATTAGAAGGAACATTCACATGATCGGTTGGACACTTATACCTTGTTGCAGCTAGCGGGAATTGCCACTCTGCAAGCACATGTTTGTATTGTTGTTCAGGGCACTGGATTGCCTGCTTCTTACCCATTTCTACGTTTGTTTGTTTGTTTTATTTATCTACTTGTTTGCTAGTAATTAGTTGTATATCATGGTGAGTTTTCACGACTCTTACTGCGCAGAAAAGATACAGCAGCAGCTAGTTATTGTGGGGGAAATATCAACTAACAAGGTAGCTAGTCAGAGCAAGTGGTAGTGGGACTGTCGTCATGTTTGTAATGGAATGCTGATACCTGATAGGGTTAGGGGTGCAAGTCTTTATTGCAGAGACAAGAGAGGAGAAGAGAATCCATGAAAGAATCAATGGCAGGGCAGGGCCACTTCCTCTCACTCTCAGACCACATATGCCACATAATATTCTTATTCTTATATTTAAATCAAAGCAGGTAAAAATCCAGTATTGGTGAATTTTTTGATCAGGTGCAGGTTTTACCATGTTTAAATCAACAGGTTAGGTTGGATTGGATTATGTTAACCCAACCTCCTTTCCATGTGATCTGCACCCAAAAAGCAAAACGACATAATTTTGTAAACCCATTCATTGCTGGTGCTTAGTAAGTGAGGATCATCGTCATTCTCCTCCAAAGTCCTCTACCACTCAACACCTGAGAGAATCTGACAACCATACCAATCCCAGATTTTGCCTACAGAAAGGGCCAAAGACATACCTATACTACAGTCCATATACATGCAGGATTCTGCAGCTAAAGATGAGACCAAGAGATCAAAAGCAGCCTCAACAAAATTGAATAGAATAACTAGCTTTCCATTCATCTATTACTAGGTTCTGTCACCTTTAATCAACCCAGTCTTGAACCCTTTCTGGTGAGTGAGAATCCGGCACACCAGGATTTCACGTCCCCTCACCCCACCCCCACTGCCTTCATTTTTGGCAGGTCAACAACTCCGGCTTTGAAATTTTTGCCACTGCAGCACACTGATGCTGCTTCTCCAAACCACTTGAGTTCATGTTAGTCCATATCAGCATCGATGGCTTCATCACAGAGGGCAGAAACTAGACACAAAACAAGACCACCCAGAAAAAAGAAGAAAAAAAAACCTCCCCTGCTTTTGCTTCCTGGCTCCTTTGATTGACCTGTCCTGAATCTTATTGGCAGACACAGCAAATCTCCATTCCACTGGGATATCGGATTTCCTCAACACTAAAACAAAAGGTTGGCTTTCCCCTTACAACTGCAAATGCCTTTTCCCTCTTCCAACTCAAGTATGTAAAAGCTACAGCAATACTATTTATTTATCAAGGCAAATGAACTCTCAACCTTGCTGCATTCTACGAATATGCCAAGCTTCAAATGATATTTCTCCTCAGTACCCCTAAACACTTTTTCTCAATCCATAGACTTCTAAATAGGATTTCCGAAACAATGTATAATAGCACCAGATATCCTATTCCTGAAAAGTAATCCACATATGATATATTTTGTGCCCTGAGCGGTTCTATACTACAATAAAAAATGGAGTCAGGAACACATGGCATTTCAGTCCAAGAATTGGATGCGGGAACGAAAAAAGAATCGGTGCAGCACCATTATTTACAATAGGGCGTGGGGGATTTTCAATCCTTTGAGGTATTTAAAGTTCAACTGCTTGCAAAATTTGGGCAGATCCCCTTCAATTGTGGCTTGGTGCTAACTGACTTCAGTTGAGCGAACCCCTAATTAGAATTCCTTCTCGCATTGTAAGTACGAAACACTGTCATGCCAACAACTGCAAAAGCCGCCCCAACTGTATCCAGATAAACAATTTGAAGACCAACATTAGCATACACTACATTCTGTATATAGAATATTACAATATGGTTTCAAGCCCACACCTGAGACGAAGAGTAGAGAGTTATTGACGAGGCGACGGAAGCTCTTGCGTTTTCTCCCAGTCTCAGTTTCAGGAATGTTGAGATGAGGAGATTCACCTGCACCAATAATTCTCCCAAATAAGTCATTCAGATCTCCGGTCTTCATGCTCACTGCAGCAGGAGCCTCTATTCCCAACTCGCGACAAACCTGACAGTAGAGTTCACAATTATTACCAAAGGTGTCTATAAATGCGAAACATAAATTACTAATATACATCTTAAGCAGAAAGACTAATAGACGAATAGCGAGTATACCTTCAGTGAATCCTGAAGTGCCATGGGGTATGGAACCAAATCGCCCTTAGCAGCGACTAGGAGACAAGGCACCCCATAACCAGTTTCTTCTCCTTGCCTAGCTACTTCTACTAGCAGATCCCTTGTTCTTTTCCATGAATATTCATCTGAACTGAAATCATAAACATATCCCAGGCTACTGTCACTATGGAGATTCTAGATATTAATAATAATTATATAATATTTACCCCATGTCAAGAACAAAGATATCCAAGAAAAAACCAAATTATCCTTTAGCAATCACGTCAGTGGTGCCATACAACTTGAAAACGAAGAATCCATCACAAAAACATGAAAGAGTATGGACACACAACATCATGCATCTCCGAAGCTAGATCTGTTACTGATATCAGAGGGCAGCACATGCAATCTTTTCCATTGAACTATAACAAGCAAACGCCATAAGGAAGCAAGACAGCTAACACTTATGAACCAGGTCAACATGTTCCTGAATGCACCACATAAGAAGAACTTACATGTCATAAACAAACACTGCAACATCACAAGCTGCCAGGCATTCCTTATTTGATAGCAAAACTTTCACTCCGTCTTCAGGTACCTCTCGCAAGATGAGAGTCTTCTTGTTACCCTGAAAGGAATGGTCAAAGGCAAAAGGAAAACTGCACAGCTTAGTCGTGCAGCTTGATGAAGAAGAAGAAGCATCATCATCGTCTTACAAACATCAGATATTGAAAGCAAATGCCGTATTTCGGTTCTTCCATAACTATAGATATATATATGGTTATGTCTTCGGTGCACTCACTTTTTTGGGTGCATTCAATGCACCCGCCTCAAAATCGTCATTCTGAGCCGGCGATTCATGTGAAAACGATGTCAATGATCACTTGTGGTATGATGAACAAGAACCACATGAATTTGTACAAAAATGATTCAAGATTCACTTTAATTTGAATGATTTAGAGTTTAGGAATTTAGGGTTAGGGTTTACAATTTGAGATTTTGGGTCGGGATTCAAAATTGAAGGTTAATAGGTTAGGGTAATGGACTGATTAGTTGTGATTTTGTGCTACCCACTAAAGTTTTAGATTTGATGTATTATGACCACTTTTAGAGATGGGTGTATTCAATGCACCCAAAAAGTGAGTGCGCCGAAGTAGCCACCATATATATATATGGAATAGTGTTCTCAACAAACACAAAGGTATAAGAACTGGAAAACAAGAAAAAGAATGAAAATACATCAATAAAACTCACCCCAAGCTGATCAACAACATTTGCTGCATATCGCTCACCGGCTGGGTTGTGACCTGCTGAAAATGATCTGTCCACATCATGAAAAAGCATGGAATCATAATCATTACAGGCCCGAAAAGGAATCCCCGACAATCAGAAACGTCTGTGTCCAATGCAAAGGTAGTTTTGTGTGACAATAAATTAGAGAACATTATGTTCACACTACCTTCCAAGCAAAGCATTCAACATGGAAGATTTTCCAGCATTCTCTGGACCAAAGACCAAACAGTTGAAAACACTTCTTTCACTGCGTTGCTTCTTACGGTCAATAGATTTTCGTCTAGTAACACGGAGAATTGAAGCAGGATTCCCATTGTATCCAATATATATTAAATTGGCCAAACTGCGCCTCGGATCTATCAGTGTCATAAGGGCCCACTGGAAACCACAAATTCAGTAGTTAATCTCAATGACAAGGAAAACACAACCCCAGAAACATTAGATTTACAAACCTCAGATAAGAATCCCTTGAGAGTTAAATTTCCTTGGGAAGTTGTTTCCGCTGCACCCTTATAAGGAGCCTCATTCCAAGGACTACATATATAAAAATAAAAATACATAGAACAGCATTAAGCATAAAGAAACTGTAGCTAGGAATTGGGAGAGGCCCAAAAATTCTCTTTTGGGATTGAATAATTGATAGTCTTCTTCAGCTGTAATTGATACGCAAGTAGAGAACATGACAAGGTAGGAATGAAGGAAATACTGTGTTGCTATCATCAGCTCACTCTATGATATCTTCAACTGATGGTTAGATATTATTTGTGTAAACAAAATATCCAGGTCATGAATTCATAAGAACAGATATGGTTTTCAGCTGTTAGTAAAATCATTTCATCGAGTTAGTGCCCAACTGAAGTTTGCAGACAAAATCATGGCCAATATCAGACAAGAGAAAAAACAATTAGGAGATAGTATTTAGTAGAAAGTGATCATTTAACCTAAGGATCATGACAAGAGAATTAGAGCAGCAAAGCAAAGCACGTGATACCTTTCAGGAGCAGTTGAAAATAGCTCTTCAAGCTCAGTTCGCCTCAGGGCTCCATGCTGGTCAATTTGAAGAGAGAAAAATCAGTACCTTCGGTGAACCAGTAACCAGAACTCTAGAAGTTGATACTAGCAACTAAAGTTAATATATTACATTGTCAATATCAAACAAGCGGAAGGTCCCACGTAGAAAGTCAAGTGCTTCTGTTTTTAGCTCAATACTCTGCAACAAGATAGCAATACAAGTCAAAATATGGCCACAGGTAAAAGGTCTCCAATATCACAGATCACACAACAAACAGAATGCATGAGGGAATAAGTGCAAATATAAGGTCAAAATAGTCTCCTCAAATAAAAAAATATTTTCTTAGCAAGAATGATTTCAAGCTTTCAGTCGCTGAAACAGTAAAATGCAACAATGAATGGCAGGAACAAGTGGGTAAACAGGCAGAAGATTGATTTATGTAAATGGAAAGCTGGCATTAGAGAAATAAAATCCAGTACAAATGAAGCACACCTGTCAAAATTCCAGTTCTGTAGTACAGGGCTCACCTGATCAGCAGCATGCTTGGTCGGAACTGGGAGACCATCATCTCTGAGTTCTAAATTATCACCATAGCCAAACCTTCTCAAGACAGCCCAGGTTGTTTCATGGCGGCCTTTATCTATGAAAAGAAAATGTAGAAATAAGAAGCCTTCGAGTGTAAGACCAAGGTCGTTAACTCCATTCCTCTTCTTCTCTTGTACAACTCTTCGCACACCCACTATTTCAGCAGGCTGCAGTGGAGCATTGAAACATTTAACCTGTTCAAAGATAACTAAATGTCAGGCTTCTCCATATCATTCGTGAGGAAACAATAAAAATTGAAGAAGAAATTAGAGAGAATGAAACCTGAAATTCGTTTAATTCTGAATCATTGAGTGCGCCATCCATGTCACGGTCACAGAGGAGAAATATCCTTTTAAGTGCCCTTTGACATCGAGGTTGCAAAGACTGACTTTCTTGGTCAAACAATGGAGATGTTGGGTGAAGTACAGCTTTTTGTGCATAATAGAATACATCTGGAACCTACAACATATCCAGGTTGATGGTTGAGTCCTAATATATTACTCAAACAGTAACTCTATATATCGAAAGACATATAAACTATCACTATGATTCGGAATGAACCAATAAATATCATTCCACTCAAATTGACGAACAGAAAATAGTAATAGGATTTTGAGACTGGCAAGCTGCTAAGCCCCATTGGCTAAGCAAAGCAGGTACAGTGAGTTAATAATTCATACTCGGTAAACAATTCCTTCTGAATTCTCCACGTCACCTCTTCAAACAATCATGTCTTTTGGACTAACAATAATGATGCATTGCGTACAGTTTACATATGTGTCTTCTAACTAGCAACATAACTAATGCATCAACGAAGGGTGCAAGGACCACAACTCCAAATACTGAAGCTTTAGAAGTCAACCCAAACATTTGCAGCCTTACTTGCATAAGGGTAACGGAAGAGCACTCTATGCAGGTCTCAATCTCCCTGTACTCATGCATGACAGGTCTCATGACATGTTCCAGGCTAATTGGCTGGTTCTCATCTCGCAAATCAAGCTTGCAACCCACTACGATAATTGGCACTTTCACCTGAATTAGCAACCAAGTTTTATCTATCAGCAAAAATAAGAGAACATGATTATGAGTCAATAACAGAAAACGTAAAGAATAATCGCATGAGACCTCTAATCGACGAAGCTCCTCGAGCCAAAAGCTACTTAGACGATTCAATGTCAACGGTTGATCACAAGAGTAAGTTAACACCACCACATCAGCTCTCTTTAGCTCATCAATTAGCTTCCCTCTATTCTCCAAGCTATACAAGCACAGGCACAATAACTCCATTATCATAATCATCACAATAAACATGCGAGTAAGAAGATGAACAATGTTGAGGGTAGAACGACTCAGTTGGAAACTGCAGCCAATTTTTTTCTACGAAAAGTGGTCTCTTTCAGGAGTCAATAATGCGAGAATTTCATTATCAGCGTGAAGGCGAAGCTACAAGGGGGGCAAAGAGCTTACGCGGCAGAAGTATCGATGATGGTGATGGGGACTCGATCAGGGAAGAAATCGGCGGGGAGATGCGTGGGAGGTAGAACGTGAGTGACGTTTTCAGGGTAGGACTCCGTCGCCGCCGCTGCAATCAAGCTCGATTTACCGGTGAAACGGTCTCCGGCGACCACGACCCTAACGCCGGTCCTGCCACCGGAGGCAGAGTTTCCGCCTGCCATGTCAGACGAAGCTGCGGACGAGGAACCAGAGAGATTCCAGACTTTTTTCCAACGAATCAGGACCTCGGCTGAAGAAATTTCCCTTTCGTACGTCGCTGTTGGACGGGCTGCCTACGACTGCGACTTCTCACCAGCTCAGCTGCCGTAGAGCGTAGTGTGGGCCGATAGCCCAGGCTAGTCTGCCCTGCCCAGTATCTATATTGGGCCGGAGAGCCCAGTCCAGATTTTAGAGTTTAATACTCTACTAATAATTAATGATTCTCGGGATGCAGCCATTAAAACCTATAGGGCCACCGGCCACCAAGGACCATCGCCGCAAAAATGCTGCAACGCTCCGCGTCCACCGTTCGAGCAATAGTTGCCGCCACAGCGCGCCGCTTCTCGGCGGAAGCTGCGGTGACGCCGCCGCCTCCGAAAGAGAAGGCTGTTGCGGCGGTTGGGAGATCTAAATCAGGAAGCGGTGGTGCCGTAAAGGAAAACCTGAGGAAGAGTCTAATTAACTTAGTGTACGCAAAACGGAGCGCCGTCGTGGCAATTAGGAAATGGAAAGAAGAAGGCAACAAAGTTCAGAAGTACGAGCTGAATAGGATTGTTCGAGAACTCAGAACGCTCAAGCGCTACAAGCACGCTCTCGAGGTAACTAGTCAATCCAACTTTTTCGTTTTCTCGTCTATAACTTTTGTTGCCTCCAATTTGAGTTTGAACTTTGCCTAGGGTAGTCAATCTGCAACTTCAACAGTGTCATATGTTGTAGATGAATGTGATTCTCAATTTTCAAATTTGAACCCATGTTTGGATTTATTAAGAGCTTCTGCCTATGTGATAAAGTTTGTTGCTTCTATGGTTGGCGCTTAGAAATGGATCTCAACTCCCACCTGTTGGGCTGGTTTATCCATATACCTTCTGGTAGCTGCTGATACTTGTTGTAGTTTTAAGTTTATTTAGCTCAATGTAGTTAGAGGTCGATTGGCATGCTGAAGTTTGCTCAAATTCTTTAGAATTGGGCTCTTGAAGCACAAATTGATGAGGTGACCTGAGGCATGTAATATGAACTTGTATGTAGGTTTGCGAATGGATGAGACAACAACCCGACATCAAGCTCGTAGCTGGAGATTACGCTGTCCATCTCGATTTGGTAACTAAAGTTCGAGGTCTGGCTAGTGCTGAGAAGTTCTTTGAAGATCTTCCTGAAAACATGAGAGGCCGGCTAGCATGTACGTCTCTTCTCCATTCTTATGTCCAGAATAAGCTGCCTTCCAAAGCTGAGGCCTTAATGGAAAAAATGAAGGAATGTGATTTCCTGAAGAGCCCACTTCCTTTCAACCACATGCTGTCTATGTACATTGCAAACAAGCAACTGGAGAAGGTCCCCGAAGTCATTCAGGATTTGAATAAACACACCAAGCCAGACATTTTCACATACAACTTGTGGCTGACCGCTTGCGCAGGAGAGGACGATGCAGAAACAGCAGAAAAAGTTTTCAAGGAGCTAAAGAAGTCGAAGCTGGATCCAGACTGGGTAACCTATAGCATCCTGACCAATCTCTACATAAAAAACAAGCTTCGCGAACAGGCGATACCCATGTTGAAGGAAATGGAGAAGCAGGCTTCACGCAAAAACCGACTGGTTTACCCATCTCTCATCAGTCTGTACACAGGGATTGGAGATAGTGAAGCAGTCCATCGACTATGGAAGGAGATGAAATGGAACTTCCGTAAGATGAACGATGCAGAGTACATCTGTATGGTCTCTTCTCTCTCCAAACTTGGCGAGCTCGCAGAAGTGGAGAGGGTCTACAACGAGTGGGAGTCGGTCTCCACAAGCCATCGGCCGGGCGTTCCCAACGTGCTCATTGCTGCATATATGAACAGGAACCAGCTGGAAGAGGCCAAAGCTATGCACAAACGGATGGAGCAAAAGGGGATACCGCCTTGTTACACAACTTGGGAGTTGCTCAATTGGGTTCATTTGAAAACAGGGGAGATTGAGAAAGCACTGGATTGCTTCAAGAATGCCGTTGCCAGCGTGAAGAAGTGGAACCCTGATGCTCGACTGATTCGTGGGGTGTTGGATGCTGTTGAGCAGAAGGGTGATGTTGAAAGAGCAGAGCAGTTTCTGGTCATGCTTCGTGGTGCTGGTTGCTTGAGTACTGATGTGTACAATTCCCTTTTGAGAACTTACGCGCGTGCTGGTAAGATGCCGCTTGTAGTTGTGGAGCGGATGAAGAAAGACAAGGTGGAGCTGGATGAAGGAACGCGCGAGCTCATTGGGAAGACTCGCGATATGCCTGTAAGTGAAGAGAATTGTCACGTTGTAGCTTAGTTGACCTACCAGCAGCAGTCACTACTGTGGGAGTAGTTGAGCTTTGTTTGTTATGGTTAGAAACTGAACTACATATTGCTTCATTCCACTAGTTGGCAGGGGCCAGTGGATCCAATTCACTATTATCCATTTTTTGGATTTCCCACAGCACAGAGGTTGGTTGTGATGGTTGTGGAATTATCAGAAATCTCAAAACCACCCAACCAAACCACATTGGTAGAAGAAGTTAGCATTGCAGTTGGAACTCAATCGATATGAACAGTGGAGCGAGTCACAGAATATCTAGCTATGTTTTGTTTTCCGGTTGTTGACTAACTTGCTACTTGGATGATGACTTTCTGGATGGAATTTTATTTGGTGAAATGGTAAATAACTAATAACAAATTGATTGAACTTGTTATAAAGTAATTTTCAATGGACTTCTCTTACTGGTTTAGTTGGCTTGATGTATTAAGAACAAGTAAAGGTCAATATCATAAAATGGAGCAGCAAAAACAAATTCACATAAATAATGATTATGAACAGTTCAAATGTTATAAATGAGTATATAAATCTATGTCTCTATTGATAGGTAGTTTTTAACTGTAATTTTGATACAAAATACCCAATCGCTAACTCTTTCGGTACAACTTTCAACACGTTTTATTTTACTATCGAACATTTTGAATATGCAAATAGCTGGCTGGGTAGGTGGATGAGAAGTGAAAATTGTGATGAAGGCCATGAAAGGAAATCAGTTACGTTGAATCTGGAAAGGTCCCCATGGTGACATTCTATTCCTTTGGGTAAAACTAAGAGCACGTGGCTGAACTAGGAATAGCTAGTTCGTTCACCAATATATATCAACAACACACATTTTCCCCTCTGCTGAGTCTGCTCTCGTCTGCAATTTTGATTTCTGATTTTCAGGTATTTATTTTATTTTGCTTAGATATGATTTTTTTTTTTTTTAATTTCTCCCTCCAGCGTGAGCAGCAAAGCAAAAATGGGCCATCCACCGCGGGGCTGTAGTGTTATGTTAGCCACGTGTGCATTGAATTGAATCTGCTCCACAAATAAGGCTGGCTCTAATTTCCTCATCAGGTTGGTTAGTGGTGGTTAAGAAATTTTTATACAAATGCCTGCCTGCCACCATAGGGCATACGCAAGCTAGTTAAGTCAGCTGCTCCATGCAAAGCAAGCCCTTTAGTTTATTTGTATCAGTGTCTCTTACTATTAAACCAAAAAAATGATGATGATGGTTGTTCGATCTTTTTATTTGAAAATTTATGCTAAATGTGTGTTGTATGTTACATGAGAATTTTTATAAAAATCAGAGCCGGCCATGGTATGCTGATCGACCACTCGCAGAGGGCCTCTAAATTATAGAGATTTTTACGACTTTCGATTCGCTGGTACAGGACAAATTACTATTGAGTATTGGATTTTAATTATCAGTTTAACGTGATAAAAAGTTATGTATTGAGTTTTGGTTATATGTTTAAAATAATAATTAAAAAAATTAAGCCCAAAGATTAAAAGAATGAATATCGGAGGAAAGACTTGTTTTATATATATATATATATATATGTTTTTTTTCCAAACCATATAAGTGAGTCAATTCTTAGTCGTGTGTTTGACATGGCTGCTCATATATCATGGCAAAGTAAGCCTTTATCGTTGGATCGGTTAGTAGTGGATCGACCAACTTTTTTTTTTCCTTTTTGTTTAGTGATCCGACTTGCAAAGGTTTTATATATTTCGTATCTATTATTAGTGAGACCCGGAAAACCCCACATACGTAAATAATGAGAATGGGAACGGCAAGTGTTATATAAGTCGTGGTCATAGATTAGATTAGATGGTGATGAGACATGAGATTAGTTCAGTTGCAGGTTTGAAGTTGGGGCATCCCTCACCCTCCCCTCCCTCAAAATATTATATATAAATCCCATATATCTCCAATACTTTCTTCCCCTTCTCCCTTGTAAGCTTCAGCAGTTGCCTCTCATCAACCGCCTCCTCCTTCTTCTTCCTCAATCCACCAATCAAGAGCACGCCAACTGCTGCTTTCTTTCTTTACAATATAAATCTTTTTTTTTTTTTGTTAGCTTACTGTAGTACATATATTATTTTGCATCGGTCGGCTGACCATCATAGATATATATATGGCGGCGACGGCGGCGGCGGCCGGAAGAGATGACGCGGCTAAAGTAGTACAAGGGAATCCATCATCCATATCCTGCCTTCCTTCTCATCATCATATAGTTCTTCAGCGCCCCGCGGTGGGCTGCTGGGAGGACATCTACTGTCAATCCAAGGTTATTAATTATAAGTATATTTGGCTTTGTTTTTAATCTCTAGTTTCTGCTCGTTATGTATTAATGTTAATCATATATGCTTATTGGGCAACGATGATCAGAGAGTCGGGAAGCAAGCAGAGCAGAAGAAGCGAAGCTGCGGCAGCAGCAGGAATCAGCCGCAGCAGCAACAGCAATATAATAGTAATATGAATCCACTGGTACGTCCTCCTCCAGCTGCTAGCTAGCAAGTGAATAGTGGTAACTAATCTGGTACGTCCTCCAGTCTACCTACCTAGTGATGATCATAAGCAACATATTTCTTAAGATCATAGCCACACACACTTATATAATAATAATAAGAAGTACCCATTAGAGGTTAATGAAGATTCCAACTATATACATCACTAGCTAGCTAGCTAGAGGAGCATGGAGGAGAGTCGTGGATTGTTGTGCACCCACAACACATGTGATAATCGGAATAAAGAAACCCATTTAACCATAACCAAAAAGAAAGATATCATTCTACCCATAACAAGAAAAAGCACGAGTACTGATATTAATGAAAGGTAGGCGCGCGTGTGGGCATTGCTATTGCTTGCTTGAATCTTGACAGCATAAGTTGATTCATGGTCGATATGGTTTGAATACTAGTTTGTGATCTCTAGATACTTTAGTACTTAGATACTAGTTCATGTATTTTGAATATTAGTTAGTATTTGCTAACAAATATTCAAATTAGCAAATTAACTTTCCCCCAATCTTGATAGATGCACAAGGAAAGAAAGAAGAATTGTTTGGGATGGGGGTGGTGGGAGCCACAAGCTATTACCTAGCTATTGCATGAGTTGGGTTTGGGTTGAGTCGGGTTGGATTGGGTAATTATCATCAGTTCCTAACCCAAAACCAACCCGTCTATTTGAAAAGTAATGTTTCATTCATTCAAATTACAATACAATGTTCACCAACAATAAACATAAATAGCTAGCGAGCTGGAGCTGGTCCTGGGGCGTGCGTGCATATTCTAATTGTACATATTTGCACGTGCTTTGGAGAGACTAATAATTAATTAACTCCTCCATCGGTACTTGATAACATAATCATAATTAACACTAATTTAGGGGATGATTTAATTAGGTAAGGAATGCAAACTGATCACGGGTATAACATTTGTTACCAGACAACAAACCTAAATAAACTGCAACTCCGTATATATACTGTACTTGAATGATAAATAAGTCGCCAGATGACGAAATAGTTGCGTTGCTTAATCATTGATTCTCCTGCCCTGCCCTGTGCAACAAGCATTTCCACCTGATTGCTTCATATCCATAACTAGCTACTGTTTGGGCTTAAAAGAGAGGGTTTCTAGCTAGGTACTGGGGGTTTTTTTTCTTCTTTCCCTGCACTCTGAAAATCCTTTAAAAAACGTACGCATGCTATGCTCTCTACTCTAATCAATTTACAGTTTACCAAGCATGCATTATTGAATCATGCAGATGCAGTTGCAGTTGCAGTTGCGCCCAAAATCTGGGCACAGGCCAAGACACCCCAGCTGGGCGGGTTCTGAAGGGATGCGAGCCATTTTCCTCGACTCTAGCCACAAGCCGTGCACCGGCACCGGCGTCTTCCTCCCACGCAACGCCGGTGACCCGGACTCCCTACCCATCACCCACTCATCAGGTAATCAACTACTTTACTTATCTTGCCTCACTCGGCTTCGTAAGGGTAAACTCGCCTTACCTCTGTTTTCTTTTTGACCCTATATGATCATTTTGGATTCGACGGGCCGAGTTAATAAATCGGCTCAAATTAACAGACTATTTTTTTTTTTAATTATATTTTTTTCTAACAATTTAGCATCTATATTGTTTTTATACAGATAAGTCCATAAATATTGATGATAAAATTATATTGAGCGCATTTATATTTTTATCTTGCATTATACATCCACAAATGTTGATGGCAAAATTACATTTAGCACATTTACAATTATACTCTTACATTATAGTACCTAAACTTTTAAGACTTTACATACAGGTCCAATGGATTGATATGAGAAATTCCATATTACTAGTTGTTGCTATGAGTCACAGGCTCAAAAAGTGACCCCCCATAAGTTGACCCAACACTTCCGCATCCTTCAGAGGTCCAAAGATGACCCAATTCTAAGCTGACCGTCTGAAACCTGTAGACAAACTAACTTAACCCGACCCTGAATCGGGCGGGTCAGTGGGACTCTAGGATCAAGCCTACACCCCCTACTTGCATGTATTTTATTGACCAGTTTGTAATTCGGACTAAATGGAATACGAAACAGTAAAGCATAAAAAGATTAGTTACCCAAATGTAGAAATCCATCCGCCCAACCCAATGGATTTTGGTTAAAACGATTTTTTGTTCGATGGGTTTAAATGGGTTGGGTTTGCACCCTCTGACTAGTAATTTGTTTATTATGAAATTGTGTACATGAACGAACCTATGATACCATTTTGGTTGCTCCCATCTATCGTCCTCTGCAGCTTGCTCACCTGTTCTCCTCCCAGCACGAGTTGTTCAAGCCCTAAACCTCAATGTCAATGACATTGCCCTGCAAGTCACCCGCCGTCATCAACTAGGTCACTTTCTTCTTTTCTTCTTCTTTGTGCATACTATTACATTATCCATAGCATATCAGGATTTTTGTCGTTGTTATTGACTTGTTGAGTGTAACTGCAGAAGCCAAAGGTAGCTCCAAACCTGGACGCGTCAACAATACTGCTGCTGCTGCTGTGAGGCATAATCATTCGAGTATAGTTGAGCCACAGCAAAATGAGAATGCTTCGCCAGAGATATTTCTGCCTAAAGAATGGACATACTAGTTTGGAATGCAGTAAACAGATTGATTCATTGTTATTCATGGCTGTCATAAAAGAGAAAAATGCACGGAAAAGCTCTATTGTTGATTTGTTGTCATAATCTCCAGTTTGTGGTGCTGTAGTTATTTGTATTTCACTATTTCTTGTTTGTATTTCACAATAATTGCTGCAATAAATGAAACTTCTTAGAAGGGGAAATGAAAGAAACAAGAATAGCCTTTCTAAACTTATCCTGTTCATTTATGCACATCATGGTTAACTGAATTCATAAGCTCTGGTCAATAGCCCATCTGTCTCACAACTTGTTCGTAACCCGAATATGATGGAAAATACCCCTAGCTTCAGAAGGAGATCAAAACTATGCATCGGTTGGTGGAAAGGCCAAACAAACCTGCTTATTCTTCGTCTGGAATCTTGAATGTGAGGCCCTTGATTACATGGCGGCATTGAAACCTGCATACAATATAAACTCCATCAGTTTGTGCCAGCGAGGCATAGATTCATACAAAATCTCAATGATGAACCCTCCTAATACAATGTGATTGAGCTACAGAAACAATACGGAAACTTATTACCCTGCATACCTACCCTTTCAGTTCTAAATTTCAATCATTTCACAAGGATGTTCTCAACAAGAGACTAGTTTAAGACACAAAAACAGCTGACTTCTGAGACTTCGTTCTCACCAGATTAAATCATGTGAATTGAAGTCTCCCAAACCAATAGAGCTGCTGCTAGGAAGAGAAGCATGGTCATCCAATGCAAGAGCAAGGCTTCGACACTTGAGTCGTACTCTGAAAGGTACTACCTGCATAAAATAATATGGTATGGAGTGCATTTGGACGCAGTAACGGACACACAACCAGACACTTCTATGGTGCGCTAGTATAACCTCAAGTAATTTCAGATCTGCGTGGCTCAATATGGCTTTTGAGTAATTTAAAATAATTAGTACCCAGTCTGTTCTTAGATTAGGTTAGTTAGAATCTCCTAGGACCAAAGAAGTTGCTTTTCATATTACGTGGAACACAAAAGACAAGACCGGGTAACTAATGATGCAACTGAAACAGGAGAACTCTGCTCAAGTTCAGCACATTCATACCACATAAGAATCATAACAGATGCCTACCAGCCTGCCTAGTGATGCTACCTGAATAATGGAACTCATGCTTTAATGAAGAAAAACAATCACAACAACGAGAGAACTTAGTATAAAATGATATGTATTGATCATCCACCGCATTAAACCCTCATTACCTTTTTGCTATATCTGAAGTCACGTTTCGGAAGAAAATGAAGAGGTGAGTTGAAAGAAGACGGTGCTTTCACCAGTAGAAACAACTTTGTAGGGCCTAAGAAAAGAGGAGGGAAAATGAAATGAAAAAGGGCATCAGTCTCAGTTTTTCATTAGAAACCACATATTTATTCAGAATCTGCTTCACCAACAAAGTACCTGGGTAAGAGCCAGATCCAGCACCTTTGGAGATCAACACTCGGATAGCCTGTTGCATCAAGAATTACTATTACATACAATGGGAGTGGAACTGGGATAAGAAGTATCATGGAAAAGCAACTAAAAGAGAGAACGAAATGGCAGCAAGAAGAACCTTTCTAGCAAGCCCTTCTGCTGCTTTGCTTTTGGTGAAATCACCAGCATTCGTTGCCACATCATATCCGTGTGTGAAGCTGAACTCATATACATGATGAGGTCGTATTGGACTGGATCCAAGGATCAAAATTGCACTCTCAACTCCAGGAACCTCACTAATTATCATCTGGAGTGCAGTATCAAGACCATTAACTGTATCCATCAACTTCTGAAGTTTTCTGATTCCACGCTTTATATCTCTCATTCTCCCTGCATGTTTCCTTCTGAAAGAACCCTTTGCTTCCTCACACGGGGAAAGTGCAGCCTCCTATGGTTGAGAGCACACAAAGCGTAGATGAAAAAATTAGACAAATAAAGAGGATCCCTTATCCAAAGCTGATAAAACACTGTTCCCTTCCCAATAGAAGTAATGATCAAGAGAGGCAAAGGGGATGACGAAAATGAGAACCATTTTGGTGCATACATTACCAAATTCTTATACTCCGCCTGTAGATCATCAAATTCAGTGGTAAGATCCGGCAAAACGCTGCAGAGTAAACAACAAACATATCATATTGCACCGTTCTTTCTTCATACATTTCCAGTAAAAATTTCTCGATGGTACCAATGCAATCAAATGCAAATTTAGACGAAGATCCTCATTTTACAATGAAATGTTGATATCCAGTTTGAGGCATTAACAACAGATTCTTTCTCCTCGGTAGCACAAATATTCTCACACAAGGTGATCAGACGGACCAATTGTTTCCCCTGCATTTTACCTAATTTAGGAGATGCAAGAAGATTTCCAATATCCTCTCAAAACCCTAACAAACAGTTCATCCTGTAGAATAAGAAGAACTACTAGTCCAGTATTCAATAGAAGCGGATATAGTTAACAGGCGAAACGAAGAGAAGACACAGTGACTAGCACGAGAATGGGGAGCATGTAGAATTGGAGAAAGAGAGAGGCGGAATCAGGGATAAAGCGGGGAGAGCAAAACTCACGAAGGAATTTGCTGGTGCATGTAGAGGACGAAGCCGATTACATCTCTGATCACATGGAAGATTATGGAGGCGTTTAACGAGTCGGTCCTGGTCTCAATATCTGACACGTCCTCCATTGCTGTGGCGCTGGGTTTCGCTTCCGCCGTTGTCCACTCCCTTCCAGCCGGAACTCTCCACTGGATCTTACCGTTGAACGTAGAATGGGAGAGAGGAGCACTGGATGCCACGGAACTTTTGAATTGATGCATATTGGCCACGAATAATTTTATTGTTTCACAAATATTATTCAAAATTGAAGTTTATGTATGGTCTTACCCGTTCATTCTGTGGAAAAATTGTTAAACTAGTTTAGTCATTGAGGCGATCAAGTAAGTATTTTGAGGTTTATTGATTTGATTGGAGTTCGACTAGGGGTGGAAATTCGGTCGGTTCGGTTCGAACCGAACCGAACTAGTATATATCGATTTTCTGAAATTACAGATACCCCAACCGAATTCGAACAGGGCTATACTTCGGTTCGGATTGTCCGAACCGAAATATAGCTCGGTTTGGTTCGGATTTTCCGTCAAACCTGAATTTATGCAGCATTGAAGAGTGAAGACTTCCCCTCTTTGCCTTCACCCATTATCTCGCTCTCTCCCCTCTTTTTTGCTCTTCTCCGCTTTTTCTCCCTCTCTCTAGCTATCTAACTCTACCTCTTTCCCACAATCAAATCTCCATTGCCAATAAGCAGAGCCAAAATACTAGGAATTCCTCCCTGCCTCTTCGTCGTTCCCAGCTCCCACAAAGCCCAACCCTCCATGACTCTTCATTCTCCCCCAAATCGATTCGTCTCATCTCCCTCTATCTCCGACCATCGTCTCTTCTCCCCGACTCCCCCAACCTCAACCATGCATCTCATCCTCTACCTTCGACAGAGATTCAACAATCTCCCCCAATCACCCCCAATCTCGTTGATTCCCTCTCACCGACTCACTGGCAGAGGCTACTGATGACACATGCACCGCCGGGGTCAGCAAAGGCCACCGATGACACATGCGTGCCGCGGGAAGCAAGAACAGATCCGGACTCTCCTTCGATTCAACATTTGTTTGTGTTTTTGTTTGATTCTGATTTTTTCTAGGTTTGCTAATCTGAGGTTTTGTCTTTTTGTTGATTTTCTGGGTTTAAACTTTAAACAGTGGGTGTCGGGCGAGGACAAGTAAACTGAGAGTGGAAAGGGCGTGGGACGTTCAGAAAAGAAGAAGGAGAAGAATCCCGTTGCGGCGGCCGTTGGAGAGTTGGGTTGATCGGCGAGAGGGTGGAGATGAGAGATGAGTGGCTCTAAAATTAATCCCTAGCTAATGCTTGTATCTTTCTTTTTTCCCCTTAGGGTTAGGGACGGGTGGGCTGTGTGAGGGGTTAGAGGTTGGGCCGAGGCCCAGGGTCAGTTGTGATAAGGGGTGAAGTCTGATATGTGGGCTGCATATATTAATTCGGTTATTCGGTTCGGTGATCGGAATTACAGTTCGGTCGAGAGGAACTTGGTTTCAGAAATATGGCTATCTCCATTCCGAATTCCGAACCGAACAAACATATTTCGTTTTCGGTTCGGTTTAAATTTGGTTTGGGTTGGTTCGGTTCGGATTTACCGAACCGGATGCCCACCCCTAAGTCCGATGTGTTTGAACCGTTTATACATATTATAAATGGGTAAATTGCAAGGTTGGTCACTAGGATTACTAAAAACGTTCACGTTTGGTCACTAAAAATATTTAATTCCATTCGTGGTCACTAAAATTAGTTAAATGTTTCAACTTTGGTCACTCTCTGTCCAACTCCGTTAAGTTTTGCTTATGTGGCAGTCAACTTTTATAGTTGACCGTTAAATGTGTGACATGTCAATTTAAAAATAATATAATAAATAAAACTTATTTATAAAATTTTCCACTTCATTATTGTAACTATTAAAAATAATGAAAAATAACTTCTTTTAGTTCTAGTTGTCGTCACCGGCGCCGTGGACGTGCCGCAAGCAGAGTTGGGATCTGGGTTCCACGCCACGACGGCGTAACTGATCGCCGTGAAATGGCTCAAGATCTGGCTCGAAATAGGAGCTGCTTTATCCGAAATTGGACTCTACGAGGCCCAATTGAGAAGCTGCTCATTCCAGATCTGAGGAAGCTGAATTGGGATATTAGTCTGTAGATAATTATATTCATCCTTAACCAAATAATTATCTAGGGGCCACTAGTTTATATGATCAGATATTAGTCTGGGCGGTATGGATATTTGTTTTTTCATGAACGGATATTATATGCGATGTATATTAGTTTGCGAAGTAATGAATATTATCTTTCATCAAAATTAAACACACTATCAAGTCCTAACACATAAGGCTTGCAACCTTAGTTAGAGCTGCCCGTCGAGGGCCAATGGGTCAAAGGCCTATGAAACAATAATAGTAGGAGAGTGAGTGTTTTCCATACCTTGATATTAGTCCGTTTGTGATTTCGGATATTAGCTTATGTGGTTGCAATATTATTAAGGGTGTCAAGGATATTTGTTCGTTTAAGGGAGGATATTATTTCTGGTGTGGATGGATGTTAGTCTGGGCGCCACAGATATTTGTTTGAGAAAGGAAGGATATTTGTTTTGTGGTGAATGGGTATTTGTCGGGGCGGTATGGATGTTTGTTTTCACGAACATGTATTTTATGCGATGGATATTAGTTTGTAACTATTCACATGTGAACCTTATGGTCACTATTCCAATGTGAACCTTGTACTAAATACTCAAATGTCGTCTTTTTTTATTTAAGCATCCATCCTAGCATAACGGTTTTCCAATATACGAATATGAGGGTGACAAGGGGTGTGGCTTTCACATGGATTGGTTTGAGGCGATTTTGGGGTGTAGGGTGTCTTCAAAGGCGGGGGATTTTGCCGAGATGTCTTCAGAGTCGTAGGATGAAGATAACGCGGAGTAAACCATTCGGACATGGCAATTACAACATTCCAAACAAAGCAATATCAAGTAATCATTTAACAAATATCTTAACCTCACAGAACAAATATCAGGGAACTAATATCCATACATGGCAGAGTAATATCCTAATTGAGGGGGAAAAATATCAATACATCACATAACTAATATCTTGACAACCAATTACATACTAGAATCTACATCATCAACAAATCAAATCCCAGATAGCCAAGTCTAATCCCAGCTACATGGGCGTTATAGTGCCAAAGTAGGAGGTTGGCCGCAATGAATGCTCTCTTCCATTATGCAAAATCCCTTAAGCACATAGAAATATCCTGTAAGCATAGAGAAATATCCAATAAAGAGCAGACAAATATCCAAACATGGAGGACAAATATCCAGGCATATTATTTTCAATATCTTGACAGCGCAGAACAATGTCCACATCATCAAAAAGTAGTATCCCAAGCATGCTAACTGTCATCACTGTGAAAGAAACTAATATTCCATATCTACAAAACGAATCTCAGATCCCAACCAAAACCCAGAATCCCCAACTCGACAAAAGAAGCCATGAAACCCTTATCCAATAAAGAGCATACAAATATCCAAACATGAAGGACAAATATCCAGGCATAATTTTTTCAATATATGGACAATACAGAACAATATCCACATCCTAAAGAAATAGTATCCCAAGCATGCTAACTGTTATCCACTATGAAAGAAACTAATATTCTAGATCTACAAATAGAATCCTAGATCCCAACCAAAACCCAGAATACCCAACTCGGCAAAAAAAAAAAAAAAATCCATGAAACCCTAACTTCGTATCCACAAAGAAAATCAACAAATAAGGAAGGAGAAGAAGTGTACCTTAGTATGTGAAGTTGTTCTTTGATCAGCGACCTTCCCTTCGAAAAGCTTCTTAGCCCTTTTCTGAATGAAAATAGATAAATCGCCATAAGAGAGAGAGAGAGAGAGAGCGAGAGAGAGAGAGGATACTGTCGCAGTCGTCGTCGTCTTCTTCCTCATTGCCGTCAACGGAGAGGATTTTTGGTTCGTATTGAGAGAGAGAGGAGGAGGAAACGAGGTCAGAGAAGGAAACTTAAAAGCGATAGTGAGAAAGGAGGAGGCTGAAAAAGGTTGGGTTTTTTTATTTGTGGGTCCCTTTTCTTGGTTCGGTCGTGGGAATGAGCCAACCGAACCGGTCAGCTGCCCTCCTCCCCTCACATGCCCAAACCAATCGTTCCCAGCCATAAGATCATGACTTGTCCACGTGGACACCAATCTGTCCCTGTTAGTATATACTAACAAAAAACCTTGTTAGCACCATAACTAAGTTGCTCTCCGCCTCCTTCATTCACTTTCTCTTCTTCTCCTTCTTTAGGGTCAGGGGGCTTTCAGAAGACTATTTTGAACCCCCGACTTTTGTCGGACTGGGTCCAATCGAAGGACTGGTAGGGGTTTAACAGCCTTGTTATGCACATTTGAAGAAAACAACATTGGGTATCAAGAGGTAATTCTTTTGTGCCTCGGTTTGTATTCTTGTGTTGTGCTGCAAAACTTACTCCCTGGTATAAGGTGGCCAGTAGACTGGGACAACAAGAACAATAACAAATAGGGTAGTTGGAGGGATTTGGTATTGGTTTGTGGCTCAAATATGGAGAGGTGTTGCAAAGTATTCTCTACTGCAAGGATGAGTGAAGTAGAACTTGCTGCTCAACTGAAGTTGGAGATTTACCATTACAGAGAACTGAGACACCGAGAGGAGGAGAAGGACTCCGACCAAGCCACGTCGGTCAACGAAAAGTCAATCCACATTGAACATGCTTCCTTACGTACCTATGCCTCTCAAACTCTCATTCTCCACGACCTAGCCTCCGTCGATTCGACGGTGGAAGACGACAAAAGTGGCAATGATTCAAAATTCGCTCGGATCCGATCTCCCAACTGATATGAGAGAAACAGAGAGGGAACTAGTAAGGAGAAAGGAAGTTAGGAGGCAGGAGAGTGAGCGACATTTCGAGTGTCCTTTTCTCTGTTGACAGTCGAATGTCGATACATTTTCTTTTGTTTTTTTAATTTAATTTAATTTGATGTAAATGATCGTGTACTTGAGGGATCCGGTTTCTAATCAAATCTAATTTAACCGGATTGGACTGTTCTCCTTACTAGCTTATAACCCGGCCCGTTGGTCGGAATGTTCATATTTGATTATTTGTATTTCTTATGTTACATTTAAGTCTATCAACCTGTTTAATTTTATTGACAATTCTTTGATCAAGATGATACATAAAGAAAGAATATATAGGTCGAACTTTAGGAGAAATAAGAATATAAAATATAAAAATGTATCATTGATCTCATTTTTATAATGATAATTAAGCCCCCATTAAAATGCTATTGATTAGTTGATTGTCAATAAAGATAAGAGTACAAAAGCTCACTAGAATTCCCACAAGCCATAGATAGTTTGAAACACAATCTTAAACCTCACAATCCTACATAAACTCATAAAGGGTTCAGTGCACTCCTTTAGGAACAATATGCCACTAATCAAAAAGAAATGGAGAGTTGTTGATTCAAGTCAACTATAACCTAACTCAGTTAAGAGGGGGCCAATAAAACTTGAGAGCAAACAACAAAATTAGGATTACCTCCAATATGCTAATAGACTCGATCGGAGTAATAAGGCACAAAATTTAGACACTCCTTATCTGTCAGTTCCAGTAGGTTGAATAAAGAATCGACCTAGCTGCAAAAACCATAAACCTAAAGATCCAATAGTCACCACTCTCTGTTGTACAACCAAGTTTTTATCTCAAGATGCATATGTTTCAATAAAATATTCAATCTATAATCCTCCTTCTACAAATCCATTTATTGAACTCCATTCTATTCGTCTTGGATTGATATCGGAGTTGAAATCTTCTACTAGCCTACCTTAAATCCTCAATAATAAAATCGTAGTGCCAAGAGATACCAAAAGATTGATTTCAAAGGCGACCTTGTATTGGAAAGTGAAAGGGGCGCAAACTATTGCACGATGGAGGGAATTTCGGAGGAAGTTAAAAGAGATAAGAACAAAGATAAAAAAGCACGAAATTTAAATTGAAAATTTCAAGAACACAACACGTACTAACATAATTAGTTTTTTCTATGGTAGCCAATTACCAATCTACCTTTAGCAAAAAAATTAAAGCGAGAGCAAAAAATTTAAAATTGAGAAAATTACACGAAACTCTAGTATGAAAACTGAAGTATCAAGCACCATAAAAATACATACGATAGACTTAGTGAGCTTGGTAATCATGATGGAAAATTCATCCAATTTTTAAAGTTTAACTTGGTGTATGTTTTGTACTAAAAAATATACATCAAATTTATTTAGTGTAATTGGTTGTGATTGTTGACTTTGTTTTAAGAGATCAAGGTTTGAATCCTTAGTTTGATATTTTTTATATGAGATAAATAATTAATTGTAAAAACAAAAATGTCATTCATAGTTTCATTCTCGTTGGAGGAAATTTGAAATGGAGAAAAGTTAACAAAACTCTACCTTATATTATTATATTATTGGAGGAAGAAGTGACCATATGAGAAAACTAGGTATTTATATTGCTATAACTAAAGTATGCATGTTGCTACTTGCGGCCAATCAAAATTTCCCGCCACATTTCGACAGAAAAAAGTTCTACCCGCAAAGTGTTCCTTCTATTTGCTCAGAAAAAGAATACGTGTTCCTCTGTGATACAACTTGCAATTGCACATAGCAACTCTCACTTGAAAACTTTTACTCTCTTCTATAGACTACATCTCTGATTGATTCATGCAAATATAATGTTCATTTTAAGATATTGCAGCACAATGTAAGACAGAACTGCAAGCCATCCATCTTCATTTCCCCCATGTTCGGATGAATCATCGATCACCATACATCAGTTCTTAAAGAGCTAAGCAAGTACTTTCACTCGAAGTAGTAGATTCACCGAGGAACTCGGATCTCAGTCGCATAAGTAGCCTGCCCAGATAGTTTAGGCCCTCCCCTTCCCGGCCCCCACCCCAGAAAAGATCATGCGGTGAAGCTTCAACCAGAACAGACCCACTAGTTGCAAGTAGCATTGATTTCAAATAAGGATAACTTGAGAATTTGCACCTTAATCCACTGTACATCACATCAATCTTTACATCTTCCCAGTCAGCTCTCACCTGAAAGGACCAAGAAATACTGAGTAATATGCCAAAGAGGGTTCAAATAAAAGTTTATCATCAGGCCAACCATTTGAGGTTAGTTTATTAATTATTATTCAGATCCAACAATGCATGTTGTAATAAGAAAAAGAAAAGAAGAAAAAAAAAAAAAAACTCATCATACAGAGTAAGGTTAAAGAGATCAGAAACAACATACCAGGTTAGGATGCAGCCTTTGCATTGACCTCCCAACTTTTGCTGCTTCTTCAGGACTCTTAGCCGATTTTATCTTCCCAATACAGTCCTTTGCTCCCGAGTCACTGACTCCCATAAATTTGCTGGCCTAAAGTTTCAGAGAACGTTTACTTGGTTTAGTTCAGCCAAAAGAAAGATACAAATTCAAGACTTGAAAGCCAAGTTGTTGAATCTGTGCATAGTAGGCATACCTGGTAATAGTGCTCTACACTCGACCAAGTCACATTACCACCATTTTCTTCAGGCATCTTAATTGAATGTGCAGAAAAATTTGAAAATGCTCCATAAGGATCCCATGTCTTGTAGAAAAATATGATGCTCGGTTCATAAGGGTTTACAGTGGGATCAATTGCCAACGTCTCATTCTCTGATGGGATGATAGGTGTCGGGTCTGGTATCGGTTGGAGGGATCCGCTCATAAGCATGTCTGGGCCAATCTGGAGTTCAAATACACAAGTAACACAAAATTAGGATAGTAGCATACGCTCGAAAAGATGTTCATTTCCATTGAACACATTTCAACTAAACAAAAAATACGAGGAAGAACACAAAAGTGAAAACAGAAACTAAACCAACAAGTTCATACCAACCTGCTCATAGCAAACGTCAAGCAAATCGAAGGCCTGGGTCATCTCAACCATCCCCAGCTCACCCACAGGAGACTGTGCATTCGTACCTCCAATAATTTTCGGAGCAAGAAATGCATAAACCTGCAAAGATAAAAGGATACGCAAAACTGTAATGCGAAGGCTAGAGACTTGTGAAGCTATGAGCAAGTCAGAATTGCCTGATATTTGTGTCACCAAAATTAATAATACATACCTATCAAGTGGTTACTGGATATATCAGTTATAAATTCTCTGTAACCTTGTTCTCAGATCATTCCCCACTAAAACACAACTATTAATTGATGCTTGGAGGTGGGATGATAAACTTGCATGAATTTATACATAAAGAAGAAAGGATTCGAAATGAAAATCTATGTTAAACATTTGTCACTCCACTAGAGGACTTTGACCATATGAGTTCTATGTAAAATTCACAGCATGTAGACAAATATTATGGATGATGCAAGCCTAATAGATTACATAACCAATTAAAAGCATGGAAAAAATTAAACACCTTGTGTATCACACCGTCTGAAATAGCAGAAGCAGCAAGTCTTCCTCCACACTCCCACATGATGGAGAGATATCCACGGTCATGAAAATATTCCATAACGTCTCTTGGATTTAGAATATCAAACTCCACCACTTCAACTCCTTTCGATGCAAGTATTTTTTGGAAACTCTTTCTTGCGCCCCTTTGAGTTACAACCATGGTGGGCACATCAGAAACATCCCAAAGATTTGCTTCATCGGGTAGATCAAGGGATTGAGTCATTACAACCCGCAAAGGCATATGAGCCCCACCATGCCTAGCCGTCAACCTTGGATCTGATACAAAAAAGGAGCAACTTTAACAATCATGTAAAATGATTTTCGAAACAGCTATATGTTCAATATCCAACAGTCGTGATCATACTTACTATCCCTGCGTACAGTATTTCCTCCGACAATAACAGCATCACTACTACCACGGAGTTCAAAAACTCGAGCCCGTGATTCCTTACTGGTTATCCACGCTGCATGTCCACTACTAGCAGCGATTTTTCCTGTTGGAAGTCAGGGGAGGAGATTAGGTGTTCTCCCTTTCTCTACAACTGCATGCCCCCCATAGAAATAGAAAATAATAATAATAACATTATCAATAAATAAAGAGTATAACAAGTGGATCATTACATTTGTTTCCCTTACCATCAGCGGTAATAGCATACTTGAGAAAAGAAAAGGGAACTTGAGAAGTAGCCCTGTAAATCAAAGGAGTATTGACAACAAGGCATGATTTCCTCGCTTCCTGCAAGCATATTTACCAAACAAAAGCGCAGGCACACTATGAAACCTCATCTGGAAAACCAAAAAGCAAATATAATCGCAGAAACTATTCTAGTTTAACTATTAGGACACTTGTCTGTAGGAATCAGTAGGAGAAGTTTGTTATTGGATGTTTTGTAGGTCAGCACTGTTGGTTACCAATTGAGTCAAATCAAGCCATTGCTTCAGCCAGCACTCCCTTACAACAACTAGAATGCAGCAAAACGGAAGCATATTTTTTCCCCTTATTATAGCTTCTCTAAACATAGGGTTGGTTTCCATTCTACACAACCCTATTCAATAAAAATCTCCCAATTGAATACGACCAGAAAGCATGATTTCTAACGAATCCAATACATACCTCAATTATCTTACTCTGCAAATCTTCTCCAAGAACATCAACCTGCAAACCTTCACTTCTTAGAGCCCGAATAGCATTGCCTTGAAGATGTTTCAATGGATGCCTCATTCCAACCACCACCCTTGTAACCTTGGCCTAAATCAAATAACCAGTGTCAAACATCCAAACTGGTGCAAAACAAAGACAAAAAAGTGAGAAACCTGAACAAGAGCAGAGGCAGCAGTGTGGTCTCCATGGCAATCCCCGGGTTCCATATTCAGATATGCTGTTGCACCTTTGCTCCAGGGACCTGCAGCTTCAACTGCCTGAACTTCCGCTGGTCTGGTGCCCTGAGCATAGAGATAACCTTCTCCAGCTACCTTCCCGGAGGGAGTAACTAGTACGCACCCAAAATTAGGGTGGGGAGAAGTGAACCCAGATGAGCTATCGGCAATCTCGGCCGCACGTCTGATGAAGGTTGCATCTCGTGCGTGGTGGCTATGGTTGTTGTGGAGACTGTTGGAGATTGAGAAACCCTTACCGAGAAGCGAGTAGGAATACCCTGCTACTAAAGAAAGAGCCATTTTTGTTTACAGCATGCTCTTGGTCCTCTAGTTGGAGGGTGGCAGTCTGCCAGTAGTGAAAAATGATATCTGTTTCATGGGTTCAAGCAGAGTAAAATTAGAGAAAGGGTAATATGTCGCAGAAGGCATAACACGAAGAAGGTGAACTAGTTTGAGTCAGAATTAAAAAGGCAAATGCAACATTCATTCTAACAAGATTACTGATATGCCTATGGAACAAGAACATGTTATGAGCCAAGATTTGAAGTTTCAATTCACATTCACGCCAGGCGCATGATAAAGGAAGGACAAAGCGGGGGAGAAACCATGGATTGCATCTCATAGAGGGGATTTGCCAACTAGAAGGCAATATTAAAGCAGGGAGCGAGTCTATTTGAAGTAAGAAGAGCAAGAGTTGGTGTTTGTTTCAGAAAAAGAATTTGGCGGCGGGGGCTGATTCGAATGGGTTTCTGTTCAATACCGTGGAGGAATTCGATTCAAATGGGTCATCTTCCTTGAGGAAGAAGCTAGGGGATTCCAGTTCGGGCAATTGGCCTAGTTCTGCTGCCAACAGCGCTGGGAAAGAGTCAGGCATTTCGTCGAACAGCTGCAAGGCATGCCTGGAAAGGAAGCCAGGGAGGTCAGTGCTCTACGTATCATATGGATACCACAACTCGATCAGCGGTTCCCAGACGATGGAATTGGAAATCCAGCGGGAGGAGATTCGCCTGGGTAGTGAGGCCAGCGTGGTTTGGACATGAGCTCAGAGTTGAGAGCCGAAGAATGGGTGGCGGAGGGATTAGGAGAGAAAGACTCCAGGAAGAGGGTTATTGCCTATTGGTGAGGAAGTGGGAATTTTGTCCCACAGAGCAGAGCCACCGGGGAGAAGAAAACAGGAGAAGTAATCTAAGTGAGGAAGAGAGCGAAAAGGAAAAGAAGAAAGGGAACTAACCAGCAAGCAGAGTATGGGTGGAAGAGGAAGAACGGAGGTTGACGAAAGTCCAAAGCTTTCTTCAATTGGCTGTGTATGTGAAAAGAGTACGGGTAAGTGACTCACAGAAGAGTTGAGTTGAGGCAATAGGTTTGACGAATGAACGAATGAAGCAATGGTTCGCAGATTGAGATGATAGCGGGAGAAAATACAGGGGTTTTCCTTATGCATTTTACGTATTTCAGTTTAAAACTTTTATTGGATTGAATCAGAGGAACGCAACTTAGAACTCAGTTTAAAACTATTTTTTCTTTATTGCATTTTACGTATTTCAGTTTAAAACTTTTAAATACAAGCCCCATGGTTGAGTTTTTCCATCAAAACTCAAGAGGCGCGCCCCATGCTGGGGAGTAAAAGTGAGTGAGTGCTTTTCATGCCTCATCTTCTCACGAACCAACAAATTCCCTCGCTCTCACGCTTCATCCGATGGTTTGAATTAGGCTTGGCAACTGGGCTCCAATTTCGGGTGCCCGCCAGGACTCGATCAGTTTCATGTTGAATTAAATCTGTTTGATCGGATTGTTGGCGGGTTTCGGAGAACCCGAAACCTGTTGTAGTCCGATGACGGGCGGTGATGATTTTGGTAATATTCGCCCCGGCAGCCCTTGAAACCAGCAATTCTTGAACCCTAGCCCTCCCCATCCCACTTCATTCGCGAAAATCCTCCTCCTGTATCCCAATTCTCGTTCTGATAATCAATCTTCAACCCCGACCCTTCCTCTTCTCCTCAAATCTCGCAGTTTTCTCTTCGATTGCAGAGAAAAACGACAAATAATCCCTACATTGATTGCTCAGAAGATCAGATACCCAATCAATCAGTTGAAACCCCATCGATTTTTTCGAATAAAGCCATTCCCGATGGCGATTACAGCTGCACTTACCCTTCATCGACTCTTTCTCTTTGTTATCATCTTATTCTTCTCCTTCTTCTTCATGCTTGTGTTTATAAGTACAATTATTGATTGTTTTTGGCAATTTTCCTCTCAAATTCCCAGAACACAAACCACTCTCGAGGGAAGTAGTAAGCTTGTAGCTTCCTGCAATCCTTGTTTCCAGTCACTGCAATTGCAAGGAGCACAAGTCGTAAGTCTTCTTGTAGCCTTACTCTGTGGATTTACGAAATTTCGAGTGCTTGTTGCATGTTTAACTCATCCCCTGTTTCGTGATTTCTTTGGGGTTGCAAGGTTATCGACTGCCCTGTTTCATTGATCATTCACTATTCACGAAGGTAATTTACTCGATTCTACAGTCTGGAGTCTTATTAGTATTAGTCATTAGTTCTTAGTTTCAGTTGATTTAGTCTTGATTGGTTCACTTTTTTCCTGGTTAATGAACATATGAGGCAATGGAAGGTGATAAAGCACCAATGGGTGCTTTTGCTCAGAGGAACGCAACTTAGACTCAAACCACGAATTGGATTGAATCGGCAAAGTGAGAACACCAAAAACAGAGTTCTCATGATTAGTTGGGGATGGAAGTTTCGTGCAATTCTCACAAAGGGAAAAAGGCTAGAATAACTAGAAGTAGAAGCTTGGTCACGCTCAATGTGACTAATTGAACGATACAAGCACAAGATAGAACCTAGAAAACCCTAGGACGATCTTCAAAACCCACGAGCAATAAGCTATGGCAATAAACTCTCGGTTTATTCGATTAACTCTCCAAAAACTAACTATTACATCGTAGTCAGGAGTTTAAATAGGTGAACTAAGTTTACAACACAAGTAAATAATACCCTAAACCAACTAGAACTCAAAGGAAACCAAATCTAACACGAAAAGGTAAGAAATCCAAAACTGTGAACCAATCCTAATCTGAATAGGACTCGGATTACTTGTTCCTCCAGGCAGCATCTTCAGTGTCGACACAAACTTCAGCCTCTTTGTTCGAGTCCTTCCACGCATCAATCTGATCACCCAATTCCACGTCGTTGTATTTGAAAGTACATACTTTCATGTGGTAGACAGCTTAAAGCTCGACTCTTGCTGGCCTCCTTCCAGCGAGTCTCCAAAAGTACCATCCTGAACACTCTTCCTGCCTTAGCCGATATCTGGTATTTTCTCGGTTTCACCATAAGGTTTTGATACGCTTCAAAAACTATCTTCCTATCTTCCCCCAGAGCCTCCAACCAACCCAGCTTGTAGATAAACTTCCAAGATTCAAAACAAGACCTTGACCGTCCATTTTCATCCAGCCCATTCCATAGTGCATACGTACAAAGTAGCGTACCTGAGACGTCCTCAATACTTAGCCAAAAATCAAGAACCTTAGTAGTGAATGAGATTCCTTCTTGGTCAAGCAATTCAAGCTTGTAAATGGTCTCCAATGGAATCATATCAGGAGGTGTTGTATTCAGTAACTCTCCCAACTCTCAATCCACACCCCCACCCTCAACCCTGAACCCCAACAGCATCAACCTTTGAATGCTGGTGATGCACCAACAGCTGTTGTGAATGATGGTAGTGTAGTGACTGCAGCTGGTGATGCGCTAGTCAATGATGGTGAGCCTTCTCTGCTTCCATTTAGGGTCAAACGACCACTAAAAAATGATGTTTTGCCTCCGATTTACTTGGTTTGTTGATAAGGCTGGTGTGATGAAAGCTAGGTGCAAGTATTGCCGTAAGGTTCTTGGTGGTGATACTAGCAATGGCACCTCTCCTTTGAGGAATCATAAAAAAAAGTGTGTGTTCAAAAACATATTCATGATGGCCATCAGAAAAATATTGCCACTAATTTCCTTCCAAATGGTGTTCTTGGGAGGAAAGAAATCTGTACTGGTCAGTTTAATGTAGAGGTTTCTAGGAAGGAACTTGTTACTATGATTTTGATGCATGAGTATCCACTTGGTATGGTGGATCACTTTTACTTCCAAATATTCTGTAATTCTCTGCAACCTTTGTTCGAAGTTCCTTGTAGAAACACTTGTAAGTATTCTTGCAATGTATGGGATTGAGAGGAAAAAGATGCAAAAGTTGTTGATGGTAACAAAGGTCGAATTGTTGTGACCTGACATGTGGACAACACGTAATCAGAAGAGGGCTTATGGTTGACAATCACTGGAACCTTAGGAGCCACTTGCTAAGGCATATGGTTATTTGACTCTTTCAATTTTGTACTTTCACTTTTGTTACTTATGTGTTTAATAACTAACTATTTATTTTGGCCTGCCTCTTTTTTGATGTTGTGTATCACAGGTTTCTCTATGTTCCTACTCCTCATACTAGTGAGAAACTAGCAAGTGTGCTTCGAGAGGCCCTCATGTCATAGAAAGTGGATTGTAAGTTATTCACTATCACTCTTGACAATTGTTCTACAAATGATGCCATGATTGATAAGATTAAGAGAAAGATGGTTCTTTCTGACTTCATAATGAATAGTTCATTGCTGCAAATGAGATTATCTGCTCATATTCTCAACTTAATTGTGAAGGATGGGCTTGAATTATCAAAGATGGCATTGAAAAGATTAGGGAAAGTGTGGTATATTGGACTGCTACTCCAAGGAGAGTTGAGTTCTTTGATGAGACTGCTAAGCAAAAAGATGTTGGTATTTCTACCAAACTTGCACTAGACTGCCCTACTAGGTGGAATTCCACACTCACTATGCTTGAATCTGTAATTCCATACAAGGATGTGTTCACTAGTTTGAGTAAGAGAGAACCTAACTATACTTCCTTGCCTAGCAGTGATGATTGGAAGTTTGCCACTATTATCTCCAAAAAACTTGAGGTTTTCAAGAAACTTTCTGATATGTTTGTTGGAAGAAATTATCCTACTGCTAATTTATTCTTTCCAAAGATCTGTGACTTGAAATTAGAACTGAATGAGTGGAGATTTGGTCATGATGAGATCAATGGTGCAATGGCTGAAAAAATGTGGACCAAGTTATGCAAATACTAAACTGATATTCATGTGTTTCTTACTATGGCTATTGTTCTTATCCTGCATACAAGATTGAGTTGATTGGGTACTATTATGAAAAGTTTCAAAGTCTTGATTCTACTCTTGACCCTGAGACTATTAAGGCCACTGTTTATAATGTGGTACCTGAGTGCCAGTTGAAACAGAGGGCTAGGGATGATTTTTCTGCCTCCTCTGGTTCTGGTAATGGTCTTGTTGTTCCTACCTCGAGCGACCTTGTCTTTGAGCTTTATCTAAGCCGAAGGAAAAGGTCCAAAACAACTTCACTGTGCTCTAAATTGGACCATTATCTGAGTGAGGGTGTCAATCCTCGAGCTCCTAATGTTGGTGTTTTGGATTGGTGGAGGGTGAATGCTGGAAAATAGAATACCCTATGTAGCAAGAGGCAGCAAGAGATTTGCTTGATGTACCAGTGACCTTTGTGGCCTCAGAGTCAGCCTTCAGCTCTGGTGGTAGGTCGTTACATCCTCACTGGAGTAGGTTGCACTTTGAAACTATTGAGCATAGACCAGGAAACCGGATCGTACCGGCCGGTTCAACCGGAAATTGGACCAAAAGCGGTACGGTGGGCTGATTGTGCTGATTTTACCGTGCCGGCCGGTTTTTTTGGTTTGACCGGTTGAACCGGTTGAACCGGCCGATATGATCCGGTTTTCTGGTCTATGATTCAGCTTCATTTCTACGTATTCTCGTCCAATATGTGGAAAATAATTAAAAAAGAATATTATTTTGCTATTTTTCTATGTTGAAAATGGGTCACCGTGGTTGTATAATGCTTTATTTGGTTCTTTTTTTGATGGATTATATTTTTTATACTATCGCATTTCATTTCTCTATCAATAGTGAAAAACGGTATTTACCGGTACAAAACGGTTGAACCACGGTCGTACCACAAAATACCATACCAGAAAGGAATCCGGTATGATGTCTGGTACGGTTTCCTTTACCATGCTATTGAGGCAATCATGTGCACCCGTACCTGGATTAAGGATGATATTAGCAAAGGTAAGTGATTTATTTAATTTTTTCCGGATCTATTTTGTGGTTCAAATACTTTGTGAAATTAACTAACTCAATTCTCCTTTCTTTTGTCCGCAGATGCTAGAAAGGATGGGATTAATGGATTGGAAAGCTGCTTCTCTGTGTTGACAATGTAGGATCCAAGTTGTGAAGATTTTAAGAAAGGAGGTTAGTGAATACTGAATAATTAGCTCAGTAATT